TTTAGTAAAAAAATAGGTTTAATTGTAGACGTACCTAAGCCTGGATTTGGTAACTCAAATGATGGCAACACTAGCTGACGATTTTTTGCAGACCCAAAGTTGGCAGCTGAAATATTGTGTATAGATTATAACCTAATATATCATCTTAAAGTAATATTAGAAACAATATCTAGTGAACATAAAATAGATGTCGAAAAATTTAGTAGATATACTGTAAAAACTGCGGAATTATATATCCAGTTATACCAATGGTATCCGATGACTCCTACAATGCATAAAATCCTTATTCATGGTTTTTTATTGTAATAGAGCATGCTTTGCTTCCTATTGGTCAGCTATCTGAAGAAGTAGCTGAAGCACGAAATAAATATTTTCGTCTTTACCATCAAGACAATGCTAAAAAATTTTCCAGAGAGTCTTGCAACCTCGACGTTCTTAATAGATTACTAATTAGCTAAGATCCTATTTTAACTTTCATGAGAAAATTACCAAGAAAAAATACTAAACCATTCTTAAAAGAAACCTTGGAGACGCTACTTCCAGCTGAACTTTCTAATTTTACTGATATTGTTGACACAGAGGAGAAATCTTCAGAGCAATCAGGGATGTCTTCAGAGCAATCAGGGATGTCTTCTGATGAAGAAATTTAGCTTTTGCCCTCATCCTTTTATTAGTAGTTATTTTGTGTTAAAATATAAATAGCTGTAAAAATTTTTTTTTTATTATTTACCATAGCTTTATAAGAGTTATATAGTAATTGCAAGTGCTTCCGAATACATTAAGATAACACAAATTGCGATGTTTTGATTTTCGATTCCGAGATGAAAAAATGTTATCTTTCATATATAATAGGTTTATATCATGATAAGAACCATATAAAATAGGTTCTTATCATATTTATACTATAGAAAGGTGTGAAAAAAAAAACTGTGGGAAGGGGGGGGGGGAGTCTATCATCGATAAATATTTTTAAAATCTTTTGTTTTCTCTTTTTATTTGTCTTCTCTACCAGTTTTTCTTAAAAAAAGTTAAACTTTTCTAATTAAAGATTATTAAATATTTTTGGCCGCCTAAATCAATCAAATACCCCACAGTGCGGCGGCTCAAATTTTACCCTGTTTTTTCAAAAATATTAGAGCGCATAATGCACAATAGACTCTATAACTTTCTAGTTAATCATCACTTCTTAAATAATAATCAATATGGATTTTAAAAACGAAACTCAAAAGAACACGCTGTAATCAAACTTGTAAATAAAATTTTAAATGGTTTCGATAAAAATAAATACACTCTAGGGGTATTTTTTGATCTTTCAAAAGCGTTTGACACTGTTGACCATGAGATTTTTCTTTATAAAGTAGATAATCATGGAATAAAAAAAAAACAACTCAAAGTAATTTCGCTCCTACCTCATTAAGACAAGCATTATTGTATGGCAATACTATTTCACAACCTAAAAGTATAACCTGTGGGATCCCGCAAGGATCAATTCTAGGGTCATTGCTATTCTTTGTTTAAGTGAATAATATCTTCTCATCTTTCAATAAACTTAACTTTGTTCTCTTTGCTGACGATACGCAAGTATTTAGCCACAAAAGCATTAACTTTATGTTTAATACGGTTAATCAAGAACTAGAAAATCTAAACGAATGGTTAAGGCTAACAAACTCTCGCTAAACGTAGAAAAAATAAAATATATTCTTTTTACAAAATCTTTAGGTTCAGACACCCTCCCCTTATAACTTCCTGAACTGCTTATCGTCAAAACTAAACTTAAAAGAGAATACTCAATCAACTTTTTAGGCATAATTTTTAATGAAAGTGTTAGCTAGAGTAATCATATCAAAAAAGTGGAAACGAAAATATCTAAAACTATTGGAATTATGTATAAATCAAAGCATATTCTTAATACAACTTGTTTAAAAAATATTTATTTCACTTTTATTCACAGCTGCATCAATTACTGTAACATAAACAGGGCGAGTTTATTAATTTAGCAATTAGTGACACATAATCTTTTGTTTAGCAAGTTTAGCAACTACTGTAACATACTGTAACCTACTGTAACAAGTTTAGCAATGACTGTAACATAATCAGGGCGAACTTATCCAACAAAGTTAAATGTAATTAACAAAAAAACAAAAACATGCATGTTGCTTAATATTAAACGCGAACAGGTACACCAGTATCAAACCTCTGCTAAGAGAACTTGGAGTGCCTAATGTCTTCGAAGTAAATATTCTTAACATACTACTTTTTATGTTTAAGTTAAAGAATCTACTACTACCAAACACTTTCTAGTATTAATTTATTTCTATAAACTACAAATACCAATCTAAGTACTCAATTAAAAACTTTGTAATACCAAAATTTTTATTAAAACAACCCAGTGGGCACCGGACCAAAATAAAATGTCTGAACGTTTAAAAGACGTCCAAACTGTTCAAAAGACGTTCAATAGACGTTCTATACGTTTAAAAGAGGTCTTTTTTATGTCCCGTGCCCACTGGGAAGCTGAATTCTCAATATCTTGCCGAGAGTCACGATTGTGGAACTCGATTCTAACAATAAAGACTATAACTTCCACTCTACATTTTAAACGTGCAACAAAACAACACATATTTAATTTTGATTATAATCAATTACTAACTTACTTATAAAACCTTTATTTAAACTTAGTTATTTAATATCTTATATAATGACGCAATACAATTTTATTTTGTTTTTTCAATAGGGGAAAGGCGCCTATGATGATGACTTCTTCCAATGAAGGCATACTGACGAGTTGGGTGTTGCAATATTGACGAGTTAGGAAAACCTTTTTTTTTATAAGAAAAACTTATTTTTAAGTAAAGTAAAAAAAATTGATGCTTCAAAAGTTTTTTTTTGGTCATAAAACGCAATAAATCTTATGCGCATGCGCGAAACTTTACAATGCTGCTGTGTAGCATGAAATGGTAAATTAGAATGGTTCCGAGTAATTTCTAGCTTTTCTGAGGAAATACTCTAAGGTTAAAGGAAATTATCAAATTAACCTTGATCCTAACCAGCCCCATTCTCCCCTATGCCATCAAAGGAGCAGTAGTTGCCTATGATGGTATGCTTGTGCTTTATTTTTAAATAGGAATAACTAGTAAAAATAACAAAACTGATTAAAATTCCGAGGGTTATTATTGTTCTACATGTAATAAGGAATGCATCCATATCAAAATTTTTATTATTGGTCTTCAGGATATTGATTAATGAAGCTTCAAAGTTAAGTATGCCATCATTGGCGTCTTTCCTCTATGTATTTTCTTCAATATGTATGAATTTTAAAGTTATGTTATTATATTGACGTAAAAAAAAAAAAAATTTTAAAAATTAAAAAAAAAAGTTTATGCATAAGTATTATATACAAGATTATATCTAAATATGTAACAACGGGACTGGATGATAAGACCATGTCTTCTGCCTGCTCAGGTCGGAATTTTTGAAAACTTTATATTGTTATGTTGTAAAACATTGTAAAGCTTATTTCAAAGGACGAAATAAATAAATAAAAAATAATAAAAACCGTATCAAACGCTTTTTGTAGGTCGATAAAAACACCACCAATTAAATGACCAGTATCCAGTGCCCTTTTTATTTTTTTGGTTATACTTATTAAAGCGTGGCAAGTAGAGCGTTTTGATCAAAATCCATGGTTTAAATTGACACTTATAGCTCTAAATACTAATCAATGATGTAAGAAAAGATATATAAATGATTATTAAAAACCATGTAAATTTTGTTAAAAAAACGTTAAGGTTTTTAACGCTACGCAATAGGACTGTAAATAAACGTCAATACACGTTTATACAACCGTTACACCTTTAAAGCCATGTTAAGGTATGATAAATTTATTTTTTTAAATAACTTTTTTTGCTTGAAAGTATATTTAAATAAATAAAAAAAAAAAGAGTTATAAAGTTAACAATGTGTTTTCATAACTTTTTTTTTTTTATTATTTTTTTCCTCTTTCTCGCGGAATTGCCTATATATATAAAGCTTTAAAGAAAATTTTTTCCAATTAAGTGATTTGTGTTGTGTTACCAAATCATACATTTTGCCTTCAAAACCTAAAGAAGACGTATAAAGAACGATTTTAGATTTTTAATCATTTAAATCTTGTTGAAACCTATATTAAATACTTTTAAATGTTGTTTGGAAAACATATTTTAAATAGTACCTTTAATGTTGCTGTGGAAACCTATTTTAAATAGCATCTTTAATATTGTTGTGGAAACCTACTATGCACCTTTAATGTTGTTGTGAAAAGTTAAAAGCTTTTCTGAAATCGATAAATGCTGATAATGTAATAAGTTTTTTAGAGCTGCTTAGCTTTACTTTAGACAATAACTAAATTCTACTTTAAACAATAAATAAAAATTAAACATAATAAAATTATTTATTAATAAAAAAGCTATTAAACGAAATTCACATAGTTGTCATAGTATGTTCCTTGACTTAGTAGATTCTAAATTACTGATTTTAGAGCTAAAATAATATGGCTTTCGAACTGATGCTTTGAACCTAATAAGGAATTATTTTCATAATAGAAAAATATTTATAAAAGCTAAAGATGCATATTCTAACGAAGAACAAGTTACCCTTACAAAAAAACCCAGCGAACTTCCAGTGAAAAAATGTTCCAAAACCCAGCGAACTTCCAGTGATCTTTTCCAGTGATCTCTAAAGTTCACTGGAAATTTCCAGCGAACTTGTTCCAAAACCCAGCGAACTTTTCCAGTGATCTTTAAAGATCACTGGAAGTTCGCTGGAAATTTCCAGCGAACTTGTTCCAAAACCCAGCGAACTTCCAGTGAACTTTTCTAGCGAATTTTCATGTTTATGTATAAAAATAGATTCGCTGGAATTTTTTTTAAAAAAAGATTTTTTATTTTTGCTATAAAAGTTTCAAAAGTTTATAAACATTTTAAAATTTTTTAACCAATAAACGCGAAATAAGAGAAGTTAAGCGCGATAAAAAAGTAATATATTTATTTTAAAATATCGAGTTTTATAAATTAAAATACAATGTAGGATTAGATTATCTTAGGTATAATTACAAATTCTCAGAAATAAACTTCAATACAGAATACAATTTTTAACAAGAAACTAAAAAGTTAATTTATTAATTAATGTAAAACATATTTTTTTATAGGCATAAGTAAACTTTATATTACGCATGTTTCTATATTTAAAAAGTTTTTTCTCGTTAGCGTTCTCATACGACAAATTATCACAACGAAACAAAAAGAATTAAGAAATTCGTCAATTCATCTTTTGAAAACCACTTTAGGCATTCTTTTCGGTTTGGGTCTTTAGAGCTAAAAAAAAAAAAAGAAAAAAAAAAAAAGAATGCATACAATAAATAAAGAACATATATATATATATATATATATATATATATATATATATATATATATATATATATTATATATATATATATATATATATATATATATATATATATTTAAACAATATTTAAAATGTATTCTACAAAATAGAGTGCTCAATGTTCTTAAAAGAACAGAGCAATTATAAATAAGTAGAAAATTACTTAACAAAAATTTTTCTTCATTTTACACTGTTACATCGAAAACTTTTAAAAAATTTTCTATTAAGTGACTTTCTATATATATATATATATATATATATATATATATATATATATATATATATATATATATATATATATATATATATATATATATATATATATATATATATATATATATATATATATATATATATATAATATATATATATATATATATATATATATATATATATATATATATATATATATATATATATATATATATATATATATATACATATATATATATATCTGGTAAATAAATTTAAAAACTGAAGACATTAATTTTTTCTCTGTATTGTCTTCAGTTTTTAAATTTATTTACCAGATATATATATATATGTATATATATATATATATATATATATATATATATATATATATATATATATATACATATATATATATATATCTGGTAAATAAATTTAAAAACTGAAGACAATACAGAGAAAAAATTAATGGACAAATAAACTTGCTACAAATCAATTAAAAATTTTATTACAAATTATGACAAAATAAACCTCCTAATATTAAAATAACAATTATAATGTAGTAAGTTAGTTAGATAAATTTATATTTAGGATTTTCCCATTTAATATGAAGTGCTTCTTTTATTTTTAATTTGTTAATGGTAGAGGCAGTATCCAAAATCTAAAAGCAATCAAAATTAGTTAGTGTTTTACAAACACTAACTAATAATTATATAAAACATAATATTCAAAATAAGACAAAATGTGAAATGATAAGCAAAAATAAAACAGTATAAGATAGATAAAAACATACCAACATATTTTCGCGCAATTAGAATCAATCATTTTTTATTAATTTATCAATTTCCAACCATTAGCATTTTATCACTTTTATCCTGCATAAAAATAATAATTATAGATAAAATAATAAAAACTTAATTATATATATATATATATATATATATATATATATATATATATATATATATATATATATATATATATATATATATATATATATATATATATAATCAATTATTATAATAACTAAATAATTTTAATTTAAAAACCCAGCAAACTTTCACTGGAAGTTTTCTGGTTTTTTTTTTATAAGGAACTTTACAATTTTTAAACTAATTTTTTTTTAAATTTTTAACTGTTTAAATCAACAAAACAAAAAATCATACAGCTCTACTTTTCTATACTGATATAGATATTTAAATCTGTAAAAAACATAATAGTCATTATAAAGCAAAACTTAAACCTGTATATTAATGAAAAAGAAAAATATTGCAGTAAGTATATCTTATAGGCAATATGATGCTTAAGCATGTTTTTTAGCCCATTTCAAAAAAGTCGAGAACCAAATGGCAGTAGTTACATTTTTTATTCCGAATAAGTGTAATTTGTTTACTTTCTCTGATAACTTATATCATCTAATTCAAATTGTATTTATTAGGATATTTTAGTATAATTTTAGATGGAAAAATTATGAAGTCAGTGGTCTGTTGGTTCTCTACTGACAAATTAGCACAACAAAACAAACAGAATTGCGAAAATTGACTTTAAAAGTATTTTCGTTTGGGTCTTTAAAGCTAAAAAAAAAAAAGATGGTTTATACGATATTTAAAGGACATCAATAACAATTTTATAAAAACATATAATAAATACTGTATAAAATTTATATATATATATATATATATATATATATATATATATATATATATATATATATATATATATATATATATACATACATAATATATATATATATATATATATATATATATATATTATATATATATATAGAGAGAGAGAGAGAGAGAGAGAGAGAAAGATTTTAGTTTACTTAAATAAAAACTGCATTAAAATATAATACCTGCTTTAAAAAAAGCTCTGTATATATATAACTGCTTTAAAATAACTCTTTAATATAAAACATATTTTCTTTACCATACAAATCAGAAAACTCATAAAAAAATCTATTAACTAATAATGTGGCTTCATTAATTACACTTTCAGATAATACCTTATTGTTCAACGTAAAAACAATATTAGATAAAAGAGTAAAATGGTCAAAAAACTGATGAGGCAAAACATCACATAAAATAACAGGACCATAAAAAACTAAAAAAGTAAAAAACTCAACACCTTTCCAATGCTTTATACAACTTAATGATCATCGAGTCTGTCTTATATTGCTTGGCACACTGATTGCAGATAAAAGATTATTTACAAGATTATTTAAAATGCATTCGCATAAAGCGAATGCATAATAAACAATACTTAAGAGAAATAAGCATTTTGAGCAACATACCAGATGATTTTGTTTTGTAACTTGAGTAGAACTAATAATAATTGAAACTCACACTATAGATCATCTATTAGATGCAAAAAATAAAATAAAAAGGATTACTTTTATACAAAAATTTGAAATATTATTTTAAGAAGCTATATTATCAATTTTCCAAGTTTTAACTGCTTGCAGAAGTTGTAACAGCAACGCTTTTTACATCACCGCGAAATATTTCGCAAGAAACCCAGCGAACTTTAAGATCACTGGAAGTTTTTCGTCGAAGTCTTTTGTTTCCATGGAAATCCAGCGAAAACCCAGTGATCTTAGTAAATTTCCAGTGATCTTTTAATTTCCAGCGAACTTTCGCTGGAAGTTCGCTGGGTTTTTTTGTAAGGGTAATATTGGCATACAACAGGGATCCATTTTATAACCTCTTTTTTTTTTATTGTCATCAATGATCTACCTGAATATCTGACATTATTTGAATCAACATTATTTGCAGATGACACAACACTTATGACAACTAATACCAGTTTAAACCACCTAATAACAAAGACTCAGTCAGCATTTAATAATTTTATCGAGTGGTGCAATGCTAATAAACTCGACATCATTTGGGATAAAAATAAAACAAAGATTTTAACAATTAGCATACTTCTAAAGTAATATTGCCAAAATCAACCATATTAAGTAATAAGTTCAAAATAGTTGATACATTTTCTCTTTGCTTTGCGTCATTATAAACAGTAAATTACATTTATTAACCTTGATAACATCAAGCACAATACTAGAGATAAAAACCATTTACAATAATTTATTATACTACTTGTATCTAATACTAAAAACACTTCTATTCACCAGCAATGGTAAAAGACTTATATTCCATAGAATTGAAGTTAAGAAATATAAGTGGTTTTTACATGTAAATTTTTGTGGATTATTGTATTATATTAAGTTTTGGTGAACATGTGTATAAAGATAATTCATGGAAAACAGAGAGTTAGTATTTGTATTATGTATGTAGTAGTTTTTATTTTTATATGAAGGTGAGTTTAATTTGGTGAAGAAAATTTAGTTTGTTTAAAAAAAATAAGTTTTTTTTAATTTCTCGTTGTGTTAAAAGCAAGAAAACTACATCATCTAGTAAGTAACTATTAATTTTAATGTCGTCTAAATAACTTTTCTAATTTGCCGTGTTCACTTAAAAGTATTTTGTTCATTTAATGTATTTTGTTCATTTAAATTACCCCCATAAAATTGAAAAACAGTAGATTATATGTGTAAAATAATCACTACATAGATCTTAATAAATATGTTTATCACTAAAACTTTATAGATTTGGGACAAAAATATGTTATGCGTATTTTCACGTTTCTCTAGTATCTTGTACTATGAAGAACAATAATATTATGGATTGCATTTTCTAAGCTTACGATATAGGCCAGATTGACCAACTCACCAAGGGTATCCAGTTATATACAATGTTGCTAGAGGACAGTGGATTGAGAAAGAAGGTTTTAATTTTTTTATATTTGTTATAATTTTTTTTAAATAAAACTATAAAAACCACACGTTCTTGATATATGATATCAATAAATAAATCAAACCAAAATTATATTTCGGAAAACTAGATCTAAAACTGTAAATGACTGGGGAAAAAACAATGTTCATTCTAAAGTTTAGGTTTGATGGATGATTATTTAAAAACAAATAAAATTATTAAACAATTATCAAATTAAATATACATTAAAAAATCTCATATTACTATTCTCCTAAAGTTCCAGTTTTGTTGTGGATATTAACGTTAGGATACAGAAAAAAGTATAGATGATTCAATTTTAATAACTTTTAATAACTTATAATAACTCTAGGCATTCAAATTTGGATTACTAATTATGAGAAAAGGTTTCATGAAAAATGACTGCAAGCTGTACCCCGCTTACAACTACATTCGAGAGGAGTAGAAGAATTGTATTCTCACGATAAAAGGGAACTTAGATGAAACTATATCAGAAGATTATAATGCCTCAGTTGACTTGCAGGAATATCTCAATGATATGGCTAAGCGCGTAATAAAGTCTGTTAGCTCAGAGAACCTTAAAGAAAGGTATTTTTATGGTTGCACTGGACAGTCTGTTTATAAGCAGATGGTATCTGAAAAAAGCAGTAAAAGAGCTTTTGTTCCTCACCTACCTTGTTCCCATACAGATTTTTCTCTTTACTCCGGTAAAGAGACAAAAGATGTTGTCTTTACAAACCCAAAACCCTCCATCACACTATGTTGCAAACCAATCAGGTTTCAATACATAAAGTTTAAAAGGACCAAAAAGTCCTTACGACCTTATCGCAGAGCACCGCGGAAGAGCATTTGAAAAGAAGTTCACGCCTCCTTCCTAATAATTAAACCTATCTCTCTTGAAAACTTCTCCATTGGTCAATTTTCTCAAAAAATATAAATTGTCTACCCATTAAAAATCACTTTCTTAATTCTGTCAGTGGATATTTTCTGCATAATAGTCTATAAGATAAATAGTTATACAAAAGAAGCCAACAACAACCTTAAAATGGCTCTTGCCCGTTATGCTATGGAAGTATAAAACAGATAAAAGTTCAACCGCATTGAAATTCTTCGGAACTATGCTTCTAACCTTTTGTTTCGTAAACAAAAAGAAAACGATATCAAGACTGTACTTAAACGCCTAATCTTTATACGTTGACGCAAATAGGTACGTTTATAATAATTTAAAAATATATTATTTTAAAGGTTCGCCAATAATATTCAAGAAAAACATTCAAAATGGCGCAACGAAAGGGCAAAGAACAACTTTTTTATAAACTTCATATTAAATGAATGGAGTACTACAAAAATGAATGGAATTATAATATACAGCTAATGAAACTTTAAACTTTAGTTATTTAGAAAACAATTTTTCTGATTTTTTAAAAATTGTATTAGTTGTCTTTTTAATCAAATGTCGTGTTATGACTTAAAGCAAGAAAAGAAGTATAAACTAACATATGCCTTTAAAATCAAGTGGTTCTATTTAATTACCGAGTTTTAATAAACTTTTTGCTAAATAATTGAAATTACTAATGGTTAAAACCTTGCAGCATATCCCTAATATAATTAATTTTTTAATGTTTTAATAAAAATCATTTCAGGGATATAAACCCCCAAAAATTTTCAAAAAATCAAAAAAAAATAACTGAACTGTTTTAGATACTTAAATATACGGGGAATTCAAAAATCATAGTGGCTATGTCTAAAAAATATTCTAAGTATTAAAATTTTTTTAAGTTGTAAAAAATGTCGTTTTCAAATAGTAAATTTACCTCTTGTGGTACACCTCATGACTTAATGACATAAATGACTTCTGTAACAAAGAAAGCTCGGTATTAAAAAGCCTATTTGGCTTCTGATATGCCTATATCAAAAATAAACTGACAGGTTATAGAATAATTGACTGTTCTATTTTGTCAGATGTTATAAGCGTTCTGAGTTGCCCAACTTGCTCCCAAACAACTTTAGCAGTAATTAAAAACATTAGAAAAAAGCGAGGAGTTGCTTGTGAGCTTTCAATTGTTTGTTCAAAATGTAAGTATCAAAATGACTTTTATACTTCTAAATTGTTAAATAAAAAAGGAAGCTTTGACATAAATACACGAACAATATACACAATGAGAACTCTTGGAATAGGACATTCTGGAATTCAAAAATTTACAACTCTCATCAACATGCCAAAGCCAATGACGCAAAAAAACTATGATAAACTTGTTTTAAAAATAGCTTATATTACAGAGGATGTTGCACAGGAAACAATGGCTGATGCTGTAGCAGATTTAAGACAAAATTGTCAAAATGATGATGAAATTTTGAATATTGGTGTATCGTGTGACGGCACTTGGCAGCGTAGGGGTTTTTCCTCATTAAATGGTGTATTTGCAGCACTCTCAATGGACAGTGGGAAAATATTAGATGTTGAGGTAATGAGTCGAGTCTGCAGGAGGTGCTCTTTAAATAAGAGCCTTGCTAAAAAAGATCCTACTACTTTTGTCCAGTGAAAAATTCCCATATTTGCAAAATGAACTATATTGGTTCTGCAAGTGGAATGGAATGCGAAGGAGCCAACCGCATTTTCCAGCGATCTATTAAAAAACACAAATTAAAATACATTAACTTTTTGGGTAACGGAGATAGCAAAAGCTACAATAGTGTCAAGGATGTTTATCCTGGCACTCAAGTGACTAAATTAGAATGTGTTGGGCACTACCAGAAGCGTGTTGGAACCCGACTTCGAAAATTGAAAAAAAAAAGTGAATGGACTTAGTAGTTGTGGAAAATTGACAGATTCGACAATTGATCGACTGCAAATTTCTTTGGTTTGGCAATTAGACAGAATACTGGTGATTTAGTTGCCATCATCAGCGCTTGCAACTCTATTTCACGTAGCATCATCAAAAGTTAACAACTGGCACTACCCACATTGCCCAACGGGTGCAAGTAGTTGGTGTAAATTCAACAGCGACAAAGTAAATAGGATCAATACCTACAAGCCATGTCCTGGACTTCCCTTGGATGTTGTATATAAGATCAAACCTGTGTTTGAGGACCTTACTAAAGAAGACGAGCTTCGAAAATGTCTTCATGGCAAAACACAAAATGCGAATGAGTTTTTTAATGGAAAGACTTGGAATCGTATACCGAAAACAAAATTTGTCTCCTTGACAGTGCTCAAATTCGGTGTCTATGATGCTGTACCAAATTTTAATATTGGAATGAAGTCATCAATACTAATTTACGAAAAACTTAACATGATTCCAGGCCATTTTACAATAAACGGTTCAAACGCCATAAACAAAGTTCGCATTAAGTGGTTGATCTATCAAGGAAGGTCACATAACAAATTGCGTCGTCAAAAGTTAAAGGCTAAAAAAATTAAGAAAAATGTCAAAATCATAGAA